GAACATCACACACAGGGGCCTATCATGGGGAGGGGGGAGGGTGGAGGGATTGCATTGGGAGTTATACCTGATGTAAATGACGAGTTGATGGGTGCAGCACACCAACATGGCACAAGTATACATATGTAACAAACCTGCACGTTATGCACATGTACCCTACAACTTAAAGTATAATAATAATAAATAAATTAAAAAAATAAAATAAAATAAAATAAAATTACCTATCAAGAGTTCTTATAAAATCTGTAATACTTTTTACCAGGTGTGTTCACTAAATGTTTAGATATACAGATGAATTCCATTTTTCTTTTTTCTTAAGTTTTTTTTTATATTCATAACAGATACCAGTCTTTAATTTCTTTGTTTTGTTATATCCATATTAATTTTTGGATTACAGGACACTATGACCTCCTGTAATAATTCTGAGAGTATTTTTTTGGTTCACATGAATCTTTGTGTAACTTTGATAAGCAGCTTGTCACTAAACACCAAATATAAAATTGGAGTTTTCTTTCTGGGTAGCTTTTTATTACAGATTTCTTGTTACTTTTGAGGCAAGACATAGGCAGGACTTTACTCTGGACCAGATGTGACACTGGTCAAAACAGGAACAGGGTTCTGAAAGGACCTTTTCATAAGGCATGCTCACTAATGCCAGGACAGTTTACCACTGCCATAGCAACATCCAGAAGTCGCACCCCTTGCTATAGCAACACCTGGAAATTCCTGCCCCTGCCATGGCAACACCTGGAAGCTGGGGCACACCATCCACTTTCTAGCTATTTCTGAACAACCCACCCCTTGATTATCACATTATTAAAAGTAGGTATAGATGTGACTGTAAAACTGCCCCTGGCTGCTCCTCTCGGCCCTCTGACTACGAAATACCCCTGCTCTGCAGGAGTAGTCACAGAGTGTAACACCACTGCCGCCTAATAAAGTTATTTTCTTCTATCACCAGCTTACTCTTATATTCCTTCCTGAACAAAGCTGAGAACTGGCCTTGCATCAGTATTGAGCCAGCCACTCACCACTAGAGATGGTGAGAGGCAGCCTTTGATGTGGCAGTGAGACAGCAGAAACAGCGCAGAAGGAAGACAGCAAGACACAGCACGAGATGGCACTTTATGAGAAGAAGGACACAGCGATCAGCAATGGGCAAGACAGCTATTGGAGATGTGGCAAGACAAGAGACCAGTGAGAGAGGGCGAGACAGTGATCAGCGCTACAGCCATCAAAGCTACAAAGTTGCTAACATTGCAGAGCTGTTAACACTGGCCAAAGGCTGTTTTAAGAGCCATCATCTTTCCTGACAGGCAGTGGAGCCCTGGGGATGGGTAAGTGGCCACAGAGCCACTGCTTCATGCAGGCCAGCTGCTCCATGCTCCAGTTCCCCCACAGGAGCCCAACCCACTCAAGCTGGGGAACCTGGAGAGATCTTCACACAGGCCCCACGTTAGAGACTACTTGGCACCATTTCAGCTCCTGCACACCTGTAAGGGTCCCCTCTGCACACCTGCCCTGTATCGGATGATCCAGGGAATCAGGCCTTTAGCTAGATAGTCCATTTGAAGTCTCCCATAGCACACCTGACTACATCCTCATTGCTCTTTCTCTTAGTCATTTCTCCCCCAATGCCATTTTATTTAACCATCAGCCATTTATCCTATTTTCTTTCTGATATATATGTTTGGTTTGTAGTTTTGGCTTTGGCTCACTGCTAATTAGGTTTGTGCAATTGTTTAAGGCAGGACACTTGGATGTAAGAATTCTCCTGTTCTGTTGACTCTAAGAAGCCAGAGTCACATTGTTCTACGGCCCCAACCAGACCTTTGGGGCTCACTGTTGGCCACCCCACTGAGGCTCCAGGATTTTCTGCATTGTTCAGTCCCTGGATATTCCAGGATTTCCTGGCATTTGGTGTGGGGACACTCTTAGGCTGATACTGGGGTACTCTGAGTTTTCAGAATTTGGTATTTTAGGCCTCTACCTGGATGCTCCAGAGTTTTCAGCCTTGACATTCCTCCTTGGATTGTGCATTGGAGGCTCACCCTACAGGAATCTTGGTTTGGTTTGCCTTTTCTTATTTTCTGCCCTAAAGTTATCATTTTCCATAATTGTTTTCTTATTGTCACTTTATTTACACTTTTTCTTCTACATTTTACTTAATAAAAATATTGCTTAAAGCCCAGTGCGGTGGCTCATGCCTGTAATCCCAGCACTTTTGGAGGCCAAGGTGGACGGATCACTTGAGGTCAGGAAGACCGGCCTGGTCAACAGGGTGAAACCCTGTCTCTACTAAAAATACAAACAAATGAGCTGGACATAGTGGCACATGCCTGTAATCCCAGCTACTTGGGTGGCTGAGGCACGAGAATCACTGGAACCCAGGAGGCGAAGGTTGCAGTGAGTCAAGACTGCACCATGGCACTCCAGCCTGGGTGACAGAGTGACAGTCTGTCTCAAATAATAATAATAATAAGTAACAATTTAAAAATAAAAAATAAAACTACTGCTTTAGTCATATTTTTTCACTAACAAATGCTTACATTCCACTTTCGGAACGTCTTGCTACCTATATGTACACCTTCTATGCAGGAAGTGGAAATCTGAGATGAGAACAATGATGGCCCAGTCACTTTTCCTCTTGTTGGACTTAGAAAAACTTCTGTGTCCAGTAGAAATCCTTGTTAGAAATGGGGACAATGGCGAGCATCACACAGGACTTGCCACTAGGGTGTCTATTAGGTTATTGGAGCAAATTCAGATTCAGCTTAAAGAAAAAGAAACTCATTTTCTATCACAACACTGCTTGGGTTCAGCACAAATTAGAAAACCAAGAGAGTTGTCTTAAACATGATTCCATACATTATAATACTATTTTACATTTTGACTTATTCTGTAAAAAAGAAGAAAAGTTGTCTCTTGTGTGCATTCTTTTGTGACCCTTTACTGCCATCTGTTATTCGCCAGTGTGGTGGCACATGCCTGTTATCCCAGTAAGTAGCTTGGGATTCCCAAGCAGGGAAGCTGAGGCCAAAGAATTGCTTGAACCAGGGAGATGGAAGTTACAGTGAACCAAGATCATACCACTGCACTATAGCCTGGGTGAGAGAGCAAGATATTGTCATTAAAAAAAAAAAATTGTAGCTTTGAAGCTTGGAATTTTAAACATCTATTTGACGAGAAATTCATAGTTCCTTCTCTTTAAAATAATGCAATGTTTCTTTCAAGAATGAGCCTGGTTTGATGCTTCTCTCCCCAACGTGATACAAGTGTGGCATAAATCTATGAAAAATTCCATTTCCCTGTTCCTACAACTACTACCTGGGATTGAAAAACTTCTTCCCTTGCTCTAGTCATTTCTTCTACACCCAGTTCCACCTAATCTGTGACTCAAAACAATACTTGTCAGGAAAGATTCTGGAAAGAGCAAGAAAGACTTCCTTAGAGGTGTCAGAGATTCCTGTACCAGTATCTGTCCAGCTCTAGGGGGGGTTGTGAGTATGAGCAAGACCAGAGCTTGTAAGTCTTCTACTTACTTTCACTCCCACTGTATTTCCTAACAACAACCACAGCAACACCTGTAACATCATAGGACAAATGTTTACTACTTCCAAGGCTTTTGTCTCAGTAAATCTCTTCTACATCTATCTCAGGCAGCTAGGTTTCATACTCTTACAAATAGCATTGTAGCTTTCTGTTCATAATTGGAAAAGTAGACAAGACCCAGTGTAATACAGGCATTCCTTAAGCCAGTTACCATTCAGTTTTTGGATCACCATTGCACACATATACCCAGCATATGTCTAATATATATGTAGAAATCCATGAAGCAAGAGTTACAATAGCTTGTATTTTCTGTTGTTATTGTATTTTACTCTTATATCATCTTCTCCTATTTGTCATTAAAAAAAAATCTGTTCACATCAATCTAAATTAATTATTGGATCACAAGTAGATAAAACATTTTATTTGATAACACAATGACCCAATGAATATGTTTCTTTTGCAAGACATAGTCTTCATTTTCAAGATAACAAGCCTGACAAAATTATATTGGAGCAAGTCCACAAGTAATGATGGTAGCTTATCCTTATTGTCCTGAGGCAAGAATAAGACAAAAGATAACAAGGTAGAATAAAGATTACATAAGAAAGACGGGCAGCAACAGTACATGGTAACCTTTTATAGGGTAACATTTTGATAATGGATGATGAGAAGTAATGAGTTAGGGATGGGTGAGAATGATTGAAGGTCTGAGTACTTTAGCACAGATTAAGACCAAATTATTAGGATTTAAAGAGTTGTGTAGAGTTAGTGAAGGAAAAGCCTTAGAATTAAATCTGGCTGTGGATAAAACATTCTTGGATTAGATTGAAGACTCTTTTCAGTGCTAGTAAGTATATTTATGATAATGATGATGACTGTAGTGCTGAATATTTAATCAATAAAAGCAAAATTAATTGTCACATACATAATGTCCTGAATACTATTGTAAATGTTTTATCTTATTTTCTATAAACTGTATACAGCACTGTAAGGTAGGTACCACTATTGTCACAGTTATACAGATATGGAAACTGAGACACAGGGAAGTTAAGTTACTTGATCAATTTCAAGCAATCGGCAAGCCATAGAGCATCTATGTCAGGGTCTGCCAGGACATGTGACTGTAAACAGAAGTTTTTCACTTTTAACTCAAAGAGGGATGTGTCTGGGTTAATGGAAAGCTTCAAGACCCTCACAAAACATTACTACCAGGCAAATGAAAAGTGTATCTGGAAGATTAAGTTTTAACAGACTCTTCATTTCGATAGATCCAGTAATGCACTTAGGGAGATGACTGGGCATATTGAGGATAGGAGGAGAGAAATGAAAAAGGAGCCTCTTATATTGTTCTTAACAGGCTTGTACCAAACATCATCTGGGTGAATTTAGGTGATTGAGGAGAAGAAAGACACAGGAGTGAAATTCTGTGAGCACAAGGGGGAAGTTCTACACTCAGACTGAGCCAACAGACTTTTCTGACCTGACAACCAGGGAGGCGCAGGATGCTCAGTGCAGAGAGGAAGAAGCAGGTAGTCCCTGCAGCTGGAAGCCCAGCTCCCACCCCAGCTGCTTTGCATGTCCCTCCCAGCTGCCCTACCTTCCAGAACCCATATCAATGCCTGGGTCAGAGCCCTGGAGAGGAGCTGCTCAGTTACGACCCAGAGGGAACCATGGAAGCCCCAGCACAACTTCTTTTTCTCCTTCTACTCTGGCTCCCAGGTGAGGGGAATATCAGGTGGTTTTGCACATTAGTGAAATCTCCTGACACCTATAGAAATATAATTATAATTCAATGTAGATCAACAATTTTGGCTCTACTCAAAGACAGTGGGTTTGATCTTGATTACGTGAGTGCATTTCTGTTTTCTTTCCAATTTCAGATACCACCGGAGAAATTGTAATGACGCAGTCTCCAGCCACCCTGTCTTTGTCTCCAGGAGAAAGAGCCACCCTCTCCTGCAGGGCCAGTCAGAGTGTCAGCAGCAACTTAGCCTGGTACCAGCAGAAACCTGGGCAAGCTCCCAGGCTCCTCATCTATGATGCATCCAACAGGGCCACTGGTATCCCAGACAGGTTCAGTGGCAGTGGGTCTGGGACAGACTTCACTCTCACCATCAGCAGCCTGGAGCCTGAAGATGTTGGAGTTTATTACTGTCAGCAGGAGAGTAACTGGCCTCACACAGTGATTCAACCTGAAACAAAAACCTCAACAAGACCCTCAGTGTTTACTGATTATACCAGCTGCTTCCTTTACAGACAGCTAGTGGGGTGGCCGCACAGTTTTAGCATCTCTGCTCTATTTGGCTATTTTGGAGTTCACGTTCTAAAGTCCAAACTGACTTATATTAATCCATTACCTCATTCCACTTCAGCATGGCTATTAATCGCATTTTAGAACACATCTCTGTTTATGGCATCACAAAGAGTTTAATAAATCTTCTGTGCAAAAAATAAACAACAAACACACTTTTAACGCTGAAATATCAAAACTATTTCAGCACTCTGAAAACTGGTGAAGCATAAAATAATTAAGGATGCATATTCTTTATTGAAAAAAAAGTACTAGTGCTTTGAGTTAGGACAGAAAAAGTCTGTAGCATTTTGCCTGTGATAGCACCCTTCTATTCCCAGCTCAGTCAACATGAATTACAGAACTGGAGTTTTACCAATGTGAGGATAGCAAATGAAACTGGCAGCTTGCTGCCAAAGGGGGTGGACTTGAGTAAAGCCAAGGAGTGGAAAAAAATTCTTCAGTGTTTCCAGCTAAACATGGAGAACTCCATAGGAAATGAACAGAAAAAGCCCACAGCTTTACTAGTACAAGATGATGCCCTGTTTGGGGCAAGTAGTACAACTGCTGACGGTAAATAGCAGATTCCTGGATAAGATAGACACATACTGCTGAAACAATCTCTGCACACATTCCTAGTGACCTAGAAGCTATAGAGATGAGTGATGAGAACCAGGAGTTTCCAGTTCAAAGTAAAACCAGAGGGAGGTAAGAACTAGCTGCATTTTGTATGTAGTTTGCTTTTTAAACCACACACAGATGGGTTGACAGAAGATAGATGTATAACTCCAGATATTTGAGCAAAACGTCTCAAATCATTGGTGACCACTTCGCTGTGCAGACACATGTGCAGTTCCTATAAATTCAAACTAAAGATTGATATTAAGAATAAAAGGAAGCAGAGATATCTGTGGTCAAACACCATGTGAGATACAGATTTTTCAATATCATGCATGAAAATACATTTAATACATCTAATCCACTGAATATTACAGCTCAGCCTATCCCATCCTAAATGTGCACAGAACACTTACATTAGCTTTTTGTTGGTCAACGTTATCTTACACAAAGCTTATCTTACAATAAAGTGTTGAATACCTCATGTAATTTGTCGAATACTGTACTGAAAGAGAAAATAGTTGTATGAATACTAGTTCTGTTTCTACTTGAATGCATATCACATTCACATGATCTGAAAGTCAAAAATTACAACTCCAACTGTCATAAGTCAGACACTATCAGTAAGTACAGACAAGTAACTAAGAAGAAAATTAAAATATGATCAGAAAAAACAAATTCCAGGCCTGACATGCTGGCTCAAGCCTGCAATCCCAGTACTTTGGGGGGCTGATGCAGAAGGATTACTTGATGCCAGGAGAATGAGACCGGGTTGGGTGGGCAAAATAGTGACACACTTATCTTACAATTAAAAAAAAAAATAGGAGACAGTGGTGGCATGCCCCTATAGTCCCAGCTACTCAGGAGGATGAAGCGGGAGAGCAGCTGGACCCCAAAAGGTTGAAGCTGCGGCAAGCTATGATCACACCACCATGCTCCAGCATGGCTGAAAGAGTAAGACCCTATTTCTAAAAAAATTAAGTTTAAAATAAGAAAGCCCATAATCTTAAGAGAGGTACTATAATATGCTATCAACAACACACAATTTCCAGTTTAACAACTCCTGGAAAAAAACAGAGAAGTATGAACAATATCAAAGGAACAAAAATAAAGCAACAGAAAATAGTCAATGAAAGCTAATTCTAACTTGCCCTAATTATTAGATTTAGCAAAGACTACAAAGCAGTTAATATGCAGGTGTTCAAATAATTATTTTTAAAACTATGATCATTGGTATAAAAAAGAAAACATTTTATTTAAAAAAGAAGATTCGGAAAGGAGGGCCTCAAGAAAAGACGTGGAAAATATAAAAAATGACCAAATAGGAACTCTAGAAATGAACATTGCAATAACCCAATTTAAATATTTATTAGCTAGGTCTAATAGCAATTTGAGATGGCAGAACAATCAGTTAACTTGAAAATAGAGGAAAAGAAATTATTGAGTCTAAAGAAAATATTTAGGGAAAAAAAAGAAGACTTCAGAGATTTATAGCTTAGAGTGAAGGATATCAACAAATGTATAATGAGAGTCACAAAGGAGGAGAGAAAGAGAAAGTGGCAGAAAAAATATTTGGAGAAATAATGACAACAACTTTTCAAAAGTAATAAAAATCTCAAATGAAAAAATTTAATAAAAACCTTTTAAATAATCAGTAGAAATTAATAACTGAACACATTATATTAAAATGTTGACAGACAAAGAAAATCTTCATTGCATCAAGAATGAAAGCAGACACTTTATACAGAGAAACAACAACATAGCCATTGGCTGAGTTTTCATCAGGACCAATAGAGGGTAGAAGGAGTGAAATGTCATATTTAAATGCTGAAAGGAAAATAAAAGAAGACAAACAGGAAGTCTATATCCAGGGAAAATACCCTTCAAATCTAAAGAAAAAAGCAAAAAAATTATTTGATAAACAAAATACATTCATTCATAGCAGCTTTGTCTTGCAAGACATTAGAGAGAAAATCCTTCAGAAGCACAGGAAATGACATGAGACAGGATCTTGGCTCCTCTGGAAGAAATCATGGCCTCAAAAGTTGTAAGGAACAATAAGTCTAAAAAGATAAAAATACACTTAATGATATTTATACAAAGTTCAAGACAGGAAAACCTAAATGATTGTGTAGATGTCAGAAAGACAGTTACTTTTGCTGGGTGGGAGGGGTGACAACAGACAAATTGTCCATGAGGGAAGCACAAGGGAATGTGAAATACTCTATCATTCCACTGGGACAATGAATTACACATCAATTTCATTCAGTTGCACATTCAAGATTTATGCACTTTGGCTACTTTATCAATTGAAATAAAACTAATAAAAACCAAACCTAGACACTTTCACACTAACCAGTAATCACAGCCAAGAGCCCAGACTAATTTGGAATATTACTATTGTTATCACCACTTCATTACCCTTTCTTGACATTTACACTTTTTATCCAGCTGCAGTTTGACAGCTCTACCTCTGGCCCATTCTTTTGGAAGACCCCATAGCCATAGGTCAGGTAACACCTATGGAAGACTCATAAATGACATGATTGATTAGTATTTACCAGACAACAAGTTATATGTATCACAGACTGTCCTATGCAGAGGATACAATACGTGTCAGTGAGAGAGTCCCTCTAGCACAGAAAAGAAGCGTGAACTACACCTTCAGAATATGGTCCAGTGCTTAGAGTTCATCAGATGAACACAGATGAAGGTATCCTCTCATCTGGACATAGGAAAGTGAAATGACTGCGGGTTCTCCCCAGATCAGTGGCCTGTGGATCTGGAGACGTGTACATGAAACTCACATTGGTTCACATCCACAGTTACTTCCCAGATCAGTGGCCTGTGGATCTGGAGACGTGTACATGAAACTCACATTGGTTCACATCCACAGTTACTTCCTGGCTTCACCCATAGGAATGATGGTCTGGCTTCCCAGTTACTTAGGAACTCTGCACACAGGGTGTCAGTTACTAAAACGACAATTAAAAACAGTGACTTTTGTTAAATGTATATCGGTAGGTACATCCTGGAGGAAAAAAAATGAGTAGAGGGGATATATTTTAATATCAAATAAAAAATCACAACCTTGTGACTCCTGTATCTTCCCATATAATTCATTAAGGTTATACTGACATTTCACAGTATCAAATGAGTCTTATAATATTCATCCCTGTAGCTTTGTCCTTTTCCAACCTGAGCCCACGTTTGGGCCATCCACTGGCATCTGAGTACACTTGTGAGATGATCGCTGTCCAGACAGGATTACTGGGGCAACTCACAGGCAGCTCCATGCTGAGTCTCCCCTCGAACTCTCAGCATCACTGACCCTGAAGGAGTGTCCCCCTGTCCTCCACAGCACCCAGAGCACAGCCTGCCCTGACATGATTTCACTGCCCAACTCAAAACCTCATCACAGATTCCACTGACTCAGAGACAAAGTCAGGTCCCAGACAGAGGCTGCTGTGGGGACCTAAAAAAAAACACATTTTCATCAAATTTTCTGTTAGAAATTTCCAGGGAATGATAAGTTGAATTTCTATACATAGTTACTATCTTAAAAATAAAAGCTATTTGTAATATGAAAAACATAAAACATGGGAAATAATTAAAACACACAAGAGCATCATATAGTCAGAGACTCCAAGTTCACCTAATCTAATTTTGAGCTCCCTGCCTTATGTTCCCTTTCTATGGTGTCTATGTGCTCCACCCTTATCAAATATATGTTCAAAGAATTATTTTAACCTCTAATAAAAGATTTAAAAAGGAATTTGTAAAGACAACGATTCAACAAATAGAGGCTCTCAAACAGAGACTAAACTATGAAAACAGACCTACTGGGAAATTTAGAAATGAATAGCACAACAACTCAATTGCTGGAAACCATCATTCTTAGCAAACTATCACAAGAACAGAAAACCAAACACCGCATGTTCTCACTCATAGGTGGGAAGTGAACAATGAGATCACTTGGACTCAGGAAGGGGAACATCACACACCGGGGCCTATCATGGGGATGCGGAGGGGGGAGGGGGGAGGGATTGCATTGGTAGTTATACCTGATGTAAATGACGAGTTGATGGGTGCTGACGAGTTGATGGGTGCAGCACAGCAACATGGCACAAGTATACATATGTAACAAACCTGCACGTTATGCACATGTACCCTAGAACTTAAAGTATAATAATAATAAAAAAAAGAAAAAAAAAAGAAAAATGTATTAGATAAACTCAACAGCAATTTAACATGACACGAGAATCAGTGAACTGAAAAATTAGTCAATAGAAAAGACCTCATATAAAGAAGGAAAAATTATAAAGAAGAATGAATAAAACCTCAGACATTATAAATCCATGTGTAGAATACCAACACATTTGTATTAGGAATCACAAAGGAGAAGAGAGAAGAAGCTAAACATGTGTTCTTATCTTTATGCCCATGAATACTCCATGTTTAACTCCCACTTGTAAGTGAGAACATATGGTTTTTTATTTTTT